GTCCTTATGTCCTTGAGCTTATGGCATACTTGGCATATTGAAGAGAGAGAGTAAAGCGCTTCTTTCAAGAAAATTACCATAAAAGGAAATTTTCAAGAAATCAGTGGTGAACGGGTGAGAGTTTTTTTTTTCAAAAATATTATTTACATATATATTATATATGTAATTATATTGTTGATCTTTATTATATATAATAATATGATTTTTAATTAAATACAATTTCCAATTAATTTACTATGTTTTAATAACAATATGATTTTTGAAAAATGACTGAATTCAATTCCACTATATGTATAATATATATATATTATTTAATTTATTACTTTTTAAATAAACAAAAATTAAATAATTAAATAAAAAACTTATTGTTTAAAATTTTATTTATTTATTTTAAGAAAAGTTTTGTAACCTAAGTAATTATTAAATTAAATTAAAATATTTAAAATAATATTATATAAAAAAACTGATCTTTACAATAATATTGTTTATAATGTTTAGCATAATTTTATAAATAATTATAATTTATTGTTTTTTTAAAAAATTATAAAAAAATATTTAATTATATATAAAAACTAAAAAAAAAAAAATTTATTATTTATTATATCCCTATAATATATTGTAAATATTACATAAATAAAATAAAATAAAGATTAAAAAAATTATAAAAGTAAAAAATTTATATTTTCTTATTTAAAAAAAAAATACAAAGAAGAAAAATCCTATTGTTATATTAAAACAAGAAGTGTTGATAAATCTTAAGAAAAAAACAATTAAGCTTATAAAAAACAAATTTATATCTATTGAGCTATTACTAGAAATAATATAATAATTAATATTAACAATTATATATCAACAATTGGATTTTTGGTTGTTTATAAAAGAATATAAAACAACACTTAAATTTAATTATTTTATAATAACAATTTTCTCTCTATTCTAGTTTCTCTTTTCATGGTAAACGCAAGGACTGGCTTTAAAAGATAACAATACTGTATATTGATTGTTCCAACACACGAGACTGCCTTGGATCAAATCCGTGGGTTCATAAATTATCAATCATGATCAGGTGCCTGCCTCAAGCCTGACGATACAATTATGATGGAAAACCAAGTATTGTTATTTTCAATAAAAAATCCTGAGGAAAAACAATTTCGTTGTTTAAATATTATTAAAAGAAAACCAAGATACAATATAGTGATAATAAACCCGCTGAATCAACACGTATTTTTATCGTTATTAATAAACAACGCATTCTTCGAAATAGGATAAAGAACTCCACGTACATTAGATAAAGAAAAAAACAAGGAATTCGTTCTGTTTAGGTGCGTGGTGCGTACATACTGCACGTAAGTTGGGTGTTTATTGTAATTTATGTACGTGCGTACATACATATTAAGTATTTGCAATTGAGAATCTTTTCTATATACGTATAAAAGGATTTTGTACAGTTGAGAACGAATGATAAGTTCATCTCTCTCGGGCATATAGAGATAACGTTGACATTCCAAATTTACTTAATCACTATCTACTAGATGGACCACAAATCAAAGCTTGGAAAGATGTGCAAAGCTCCGGTAAATATAGCTGAGAATAGAAGCTATGTTATACGTATAAGGGATGTGTAATATGGCTGTGATACAAGGCGTTCCGAGAACAAACACAGAATGATTATAAGAATTGCGAGAAAGTTATTGCGTTTATGAAATAATAAAGAGCTCATGCGTATTTCGTAAAAAACAATACTTACGCTAAGTGGAAGTGGAATTGTTTATGATTTAACTTTTGCCCAGGCGGTCTATACATATTAAGATCAAATACTAACGTTAATAAAAAAAAGTATCGTTTTTCCTAAACGTACCACTAGAAGAATGCATGCGTGTACCAAAGTTAGGATCGCCAGAATACCATTGGATTGAAGGATTGCTGCATCAGTTATAAATATGGAAGTCGTTAAATTTGGTTGTGTATTACGTATCTTATGTATGATTTTCTCCCGTTAACCGATAAAATAGTAGTTATTGTAATTGGCTTTGCTGAAAACTTGGATATCTTTCAAACCTACCAGTTTCATCCTTTAACATAATATTAAAATTTTATTATATATAGTACGATGCAAGTTACCTACCAAACAACAAACACCCTCTAGACTTTAACTAAATTCTTTGATAAATTAATTCTCTGTTTAAAAATTTGATTATTTACTTGCACGAAAGCTAAATGGTTTTACCGGAAACACAAGCGATACCTTTAAATCCACCACCGCCTTTCACGGACAGTGTGTACGCCAACCATAATGACGCAGGTTCAACGGTAAATTTTTGTTAACTCGTCTTTCTTTCTAATTTCACTTTAATTGACGTTGATTCTGCTTTTCTTGCAGAGTATACTTGAGAATCAACATGACCAAGCACCGGCTTATTCTCATTATCCTTCAACAGAGGGTTCGCTTTTCGAACTAAAAACCTTGGGGAAAGTAATAACCACCAAGGAAAAATACCTTTGTGGTGATCTCTTGGATGACCGCTATTTTTTATTGGGCAGTACCACCTACCTGGAATTTATTGACCTGTCACTCCCATCCGATCAACAAGAGCCCAAAAAACTTATCGAATTCGTAAGATTTAAACAGATAAAGGTTCTACAAACCGAAAGATTCGGAGGACTGTTATCTTTGGCTGGAAAGAATAATCATATAAGAATTTATGACTTGAACAGCATAAGGTTGTTGATAAAAAGTAAATCGGCTTCGCCCGCATCGGCACTCCATAAGACATCAAGATTCTATGGTCATGTACGAGCGAAGTCTATGGACTCAATGTCAACACCAGATACAGCTACTCATGCACAAGAGGACGAACGACCTTCTATAGCATTGAAGCGTCCCTCGGTGTTAAACGTGAGTTTAATTAACAATAATTCTTCGCCCAACCTGGTTTCCCCTTCTCTTGTCGACACTGGTCATTCAGCAGAAAATGAGGAACTATCATCATCGGTAAATTCTTTTAACAGATCGACACGAATGTCATATCAACATACACGTTTCGCAAGTCATCAAAACCTATTAGATCGTGAGCAGCGTGAAAACTTGTCAAGTCAATGGTCGATGGATTACCTAAAGTTACCAAAAACCAGGATGGCCATCTCCTTCACCACACGTAGTGGACCGACTAGAACATATTTGGCAATATTGTCAAAGCAAAATATCTTCTTGTTTGAATTGGACTTCGGTGAATCCAACCGAGGACCCGAATTTGTTCACACTCGCACTTATTGGCTACCTCAAACTCCAAAATTCTTACAGATGTCGATGTACGAAGATCAGTTATTAGACATTATCGCTGTGTTTGAAACTGATGTGATTCTGATAGGCGTGGATGACGCTCGGGTTCGAGAGATTACGATAGATTCCAATTTACGTCCAGACATTGGAAAAACATTGATACCCTTGCCATCTTTCATCCATGGAACGCCTTCATGGCAAACGTTTGAGCAACTTCCATGGATCCCTGCATTAAACCCTGAACTTGTATCCGATAATTTTACGATACCACCACCGTATAGTGCAATAATAAACGAAGATCCCTCCACCATGCTGAATCCGATACCGGTATTTGAACCGAGCGATCTAGATTCTTCAAATTCTTCAGGAACATCTTTGTTTTTTGCTACGTTTGGTTCAAGGTCAATGATTGTAGATGTCAATGGTCGTCCGTTTTCCACCGTATTATTTGAGTGGACATATCCTCCGAGCCATGTGGAATTCATGCGATCAGACAAAATCGAAAGTGAGAGTTATGTGGTGGGATTTGGCAAAAACATGGTAGAGGTGAGAAGTTTTAATACCGGTAGGATAGTGGAGAATGTTGTAAGAGGAGTGGAGGTACAATTTTTGGGACGAGGATTGAGTGGAAAAGACGTGATTTGGAGGTGTTCGTCAAGAAAGGGATCCAAGGAGACTAGCTTTTACCGATTGGAAGGTCCGAAAAATCTTCATATTTAAACATATTTAAACATTGTATTTTTATGCATTTCCGAAAACCTTTTATTTGGATATTTATTTTATATTTTATTTATCGATAATTTATTATTATGTCATTGGTTTGTTTGTATATATAAAGTACCTTACACCTATATGGCGTGGAATTTTCTTTTTTGTGGTTCGAGAAGAATAAAATATAAACATGCTATGCTCAGATATGTATCTCGAGCAACGAAACGCGTAGTATGCATACACAGTATTTAGGCGGTAATAGTCAATTCCTTATTATTTTCATAAACTAAATACAAATTTTTATCTATATACAGGGTGATTCAAAATTTTTTGAAAAAAATAATTATTTTTTACTTTATAAATATTATATTAATTATAATTT